TTAGGCTAGAATAATCATTTATTTTTTAACTTTATTAGTATGTAACATTTGAAAGGATCTATCAGTTCTTGGTGGAACAGATCAGTGGAGGATCAAGTTTGCATGACGTCGAATGCAGCACTGCTTGCTTGTAAAACTCCCACCAATATCGTCAGCTTGCACATGAGCACACTACCAACAAGGTGCCAGGGCAAAATGGAAAACACATGCCCAGAGCTTATTATGGAAACTTCAATGTGAATTCTCGATTCTTCAAAATCATAAGGTTAACCATTGTGTTTGGGGAGCTACCTCTGGATAATGTTTTTTAATGGCATACAATTCTATGAGCATCGGAATTTGAACATTGCAGAGGTTTTGTTAACAACTACGCTAAACATCTAGTGTGTCATAATATATCCTTATATCCAAGAAAACAGAACGTGTAATTGTGTGAGGTAGCGATACTGTCCAGAGACTGTGAAGTTATCTTTGTATTGTTGACTTGCGTTCCTATATCTGCTTGTCAACATAAGGATCTTTTCTTCTTTTCTAGCCATGGAATGTCATACCCAATTTCGGGCTTGGTGAAGACATATAAAGCAAAGGCTTACAATGTGGATCACCCGCTGGTGGTAAAATAATTAATAATAATTTTTAAAAATTAAATCATATGTTTCTTGCAATTTCCGCAAATACCTGTATAATTGTCAATTCTTGACTGCTTAGAGTACAGGGTAAAGTAATGTAGTATCTAGATTATGCAGGGGGAAGAAGAGCTTTGCCTTAGATCACCACGTTTCTTTTCTCCCCAGCCCCATGGCCTCTCTGTGGTGCTCACATCCCCAGCGGTGTTCACTTTCACAGCCCAGATGTTTCCGGAGCGGCACCTGGAGACGGCAGAAATATTGGGTATGAACCATTCCCCAAAAATCGGGGACTCACAGATGGGGCATTTCCTAGGGTTGCTTCTGAAGATAAGCCTAAAGAATAATACCCAAAAATGTTGCCTTCGCATAGCATAATAATAAGATGTCAGTGACTTGCCCAATGTCTTATCTAGCACTAAAATAATGTAATTTTATGCATCTAAGAGTCTGTTCACAATGAAATGGAACCAAATATTGAGATTCTGTTGTTTGTAGTAATACTATTTCCTCTATTTTCATCCCCAAGGAAAGTATAACTCTTTATATATTATAAATGTTATAAATGGCTTTAGCTAAGTTTAATTAATAATAAAATAAATCTAAATCAGGAAGCAACAGTAAATTCCCAATTATAGAAAATCTAAACAACTAGAAACTTTATAAAAAGATCCTAAAAGTGGAATCTGT